CTTCAGTTCAAATCCAAAGCTCAGTAGCAGTTTAGATCAGTAATTGTTGCCCTACTGGCACCCTGTGGGTGGTATTCTTGTCCCCCAGTAGTGGGTGCTGATCTGCATGGAGTGTTGGGAGGTGGTTATTTAGTAAGGGGATGGCAGGTTATATTTTGACAGGATGGTGCTACATTGCAGCTTGAAATATTTCATTGCTTGGGAGCCTCTTGGGCTGGACTGATCATTTTTAAATTAATTAATTTAAAATTAATCATGTCAATTTGCTTGAATATTGTAAAGCAAGTTAACCCCAGGGGACCGAGTTAGCAAAATGGAACCGGAATTGAAGGGGATCGATTGTGTTGTTGCTAACTAGGGCAGGTTTACATGCTTATCCAGTTGAAGCTGTAGCCCTCATTTCATTGCCAGAGTATTGAAATACAAGTACAGGTGTTGGGTATGGCTGTTGCTGACTGGAGAGTTAAAATAGGATTCCCTTTTGAAAAACTCTTTTTGAGTTGAGGGGAGAGGGGGAGAGTGTGAGAGAGCACCTAATTCTCAGGCACCAGTATCCAAAGTCCAGCCTGGCTAACAAAACCCTGCTTTCTGTGCCTGACCTCTTGAGTAAAGTGGATGTGTGTGCTTTTGCACTGCAGAGTAAGCTGCGAAGAATAAATCAGTCCTTGGGGACTGGGGAGGACAAACAGCTATGTAAATGCTTTCTCAGAGGAACAATCTCAGCCTTTCACTTTGTAAATGATTGCAGAATTATTCATGCAGGAGGTATTTTCTGGCACAAAGCTGTTCCAAAGTGAGATCTGAATGATTGTGGATTGTAGTCGGTCCAGTAATTGAGGGCAGAGCTGTAATGAAATTTGAAGGTGTGTGTTAATCTACTAATATGTTGGCATTTAACATGGGTACTAGGCACAGTTTTATTTAACCCTTAAGCTGGCAAGGCCAATTACAGCAACCCACCCATCCCTTGATACAGGCCCATTCAAGTCCAGCTAACTTGGTAGGTGCCAAGGTCTAACTGTCCCGAATCACTGAATGTCAGTGTACAGGAACCTTTCTCCCCAACCCAAAAGAGTCTCTGATTAATTCTGGTCTCCTGCTTGTTACACCTTTCAACATTCTCTTTTAAGAGACAATGAAATTGTTGTCTACAAGAGCAGTCTTGTGATGCTGAAGTTTGAAGAGGTCACATAGGGAATAATTTTATAACTCCCTCGTACATTGGCGAAATAGCCAGTCTCTTGTTGCTTCAGTTTATCTTTCAGTTGCAACTTCTTCCTTCTCACTTTCAGGAAAGGTCCTGCTGCAGTTATTCATATCTCCCATCGCCCTGTTCAGCACTCATTCTGTCTCCACCTGATGTGCTTTCTCCCTCCAACTCCCCCACCCCGCCTCTGTCTCTGCTGGTGTGTATCTGACTTGTTTTCTCTATTGCTTGTGTAGTACACTTTGTATCTGGTGAGAATAGCCTGCTTTTTTGTTCTTGTTGCTAGTGCTGCCTGTCATTCCCAAAGGGACAGGTAGAGACCAGAAAAGCTTTGGTTTGCTAAAATTGAACAGGGTGAAGTATGAAACTAATGGTCAGCCTCTTGTCTTGAACACATGCATTTCTGCAGTCAAGGAATATCTGGTGCAGAGTACCTGTAGTGGTATTGCTGAAAATTGAGGTGCACAGTATACCTGCAATGCCACTATTGAGTGAAGTGTGATGCACAATACCTGTGGCAGCAGATCTGCGGAATGTGCAGTCTCCTGTTAGTTGCAAGATCTGAGTGTTTATAAAGCTGCTGCTTTGTATGGAAATCCTTCTATAATTGAAAAAGAGCTTAATGCTGCTACATGCTGACATTCTTTGTGGCTGACTCAGCCAGTGGCACACATGGTAAGGTGCAGCTTAGACTGTAACGTGACGTCTATTTGCACAGCTTAGGGCCTTAAAAAGCAGGGATTGACTCGGATCCTGAGCAAGAAGACCTTGGCAGAAAGTGGTTGGTGGGGGAGGAAGTAAAAATGCCAAACAGTGTAATATGGTGTTAAACTGCAACCCTCTTGAAGAGACATGCTCCTTATCCAAAGCAATAATGAGTCACTGATTTTAAAACCCTCAAAGGTGTAGCACTGGGTTCTCAAACTCTTGCCAGCCTCACTCTGGTGCCCAGGCAGTGTGCAGGAGTTATCCAGGCTGACTCCAAGTTTTTTTTACTCTCTGTGCGGTGCTTGTTGTATGTTGAAATCTCTTGGAATACTGAAGGCCTGTAACAGTAGGCCACATCCTGCCAACACTTGCATTTTAAAAGAAAGGACCCACTGCTACATCATTTGTAGGAATCAGTACCACTTAGCATATTTGTATTTCTTTTTTTCTGCTTTTAAAAAAGAAGGAATTTCAGCCTCGTGCTTAGAAAATTGAAAGCAGACTTGAGTGGTGTTTGATGTGAAGGTTGGAAGGTCAGTGTCCCTCACTGCCTGCACCCATCCCCCACACTCCAAATTTATTGCTAAACTATGGTTTTGTTTTAGTGTTAGGACAGCATGACACATCACATTAGGTATTTGCAAACCTTTGTAACTTCTTTGTGGTAAACCTGGTTTCAACAACAAGATTTTTCATTTGTACAGCACCATTAACTTGCAAAATATCCCAAGGTGGCTTCCACTATATCTCAGAAATTAGACAGGAGCCAGATAAAGCTAAGTAACCAAAGCCTTGAAAATGTCAGTGAACCTGCTCACTGAGAGTTGTCTGAATGCAAGGATTCTGTGGGTCTTTTCCTGTTTTTCCCAATATCAACTGCACCATTCTGTGCCACTCCTTTCAGAGAAGGTGCGGAATTGTTCTGATGCAGGAGGAGGCCTTTTGACCCATTGTGCCTGCACCATCTCTCTGAGCATTTTAACTCAATACCAATCTCCTGCCTTTTTTCCATAACCCTGCATATTATTTAAATAGAAATTACCATCAAATGCCCTCTTGAATGCCGCAATTGAACCTGCTATATTTCTATGCAGTGCATTCGACACCCTAACTACTTGCTGCATGGAAGAGTTTTTAAACTTGCATCTGCTTATTTTGCAAAACATTTTTTTAAAACATGCCCTCTGGTTCTCAATCTATTTGATTGGGAAAAATTCTCCCTTGCCTTTCTATCCTCATGATTTTGAAAACTTCTACCAAATCTCATCTTTCACTTCTTCTCTCCAGAGAAAACAGCCCTAACTTTTCCAATCTTATCTCTCAACTGATGTGTCTCACTCCTAGAACCGTTCACAGAACCTGTTCACTGCATTTACAACCTTCCCAAATTGTGGCAGCCAGAACTGCACACACTCCTCCCGCAAAGTACTTACTGGCATCTTATATAAGTTCATCATAAACACCCTGTTCTTGTGCTCTGTGCCTTTATTTATGAAGCCTAGAATACTGTATGCTTTATTAACAGCTCTCTCTACTTGTCCTGCTACCTTTGATGACTACTGCACATTACTGACCCTGGTCTCTCTGTTCCTGCACACTTTTCAGAATAATGCCTTTTATCTTATACTGCCTTTCAATGATTTTTTTTGTATTAAAGTGCATTACCTCACACTTCTCTGCATGGAACTTTATCTGCCACCTATCCACTCACTCCATCAATAGGTCAATGTCCTTTTGAAATTCTATACTGTGTCCTTCTCTCAGTTCTCTCAGTTTGTGGACAACATAAAATTTTTGAAATTGTCCTCTTCACAAGGAAGAGCAGCAGTCCCAATACTGACCTCTGACAAACTCACCGACTGTTACTCTGTTTCCTATTCCTCAGTCAATTTTATGCACATTTTATCACTCCTTTTATCCTGTGACCTGTTAACTTTCCCCTCAATTTTGCGTGGTACTATATCGTATGCCTTTTAGAAGCTCATGTACACTGTATTAGCAGCCTTCCCCTCATGAACCCTCCCTGGCACCTCTTCAGAAACCTCCAGTAAGTTAGTTAGATGTAATTTTCCCTTAACAGATCTAAGCTGACTCTTTTCCGCTTGTTCCACTTTTTTCCGGGTGACTATTAATTCTATCCTGAATAATTGTTTCCAGAAGTTTTCCCAACTTTTTCCTTTCTCTATTCCCGGGTTGTCTTGCTGGGAAAATCACTCTGGTTACCCATCATTGTGAGAGTAAATAATGAATGTCAGCAGGTCATTTGACTGCAAGGTTGTGTTGTTGAACTAGGTCCTACCCTAGCTGAGTATTGCTCCTTAGGACCATTTAGCTACATTAAAGGGGCTATGTAAATGCAAGATGATGTTAGTCACAAGTACGCTTTGCTGCAGAGAACGCTAAGTGACTGCTCGGAAGGAAAGAAGTCAAACAAGGCAGCTTTTCTGCCCTTTTCCTGTTGACACTGGAGTAATTCGAGCATTGGTGATACAGTATCTGGCTTGTTGCTGTAGGGCTGGGGATTGAACCTGGAATCATCCTCATCTCTCAAGCTCACATATTCACTGAACTATTAAGGCAGTCACTACATCCACAAATTTGGAATCATTCCTGTGGCCATAATGCAGTTTTCACAGATGTTTTTTCTGTAATCCCCTCCTCAACCCAAGGCCTTTTGTAAAGAGAGATCTAAGCTCATAAACAGCTTGCTGATTGTCCAGTGCCACTAGAATTTCTGTAGTACGTTTTATCTTTCCCTTTCACTGGTTCACCACAGGAGTGAGGTTGAAGGGGGAACAAAAGGCAAATAGCACCAAACTGATGCAAAGGTGATAAGTGCTGGAAATGCATAGGCCAGTCAGTATCTGTAAACATTGATTCAGATGATAGGCCCTTTATTATAACATGTTTTATGGGAATCGATCAATGTTATAATATGGGAATAGGCTCACCAATTCATTTACTCATGATGTTCCATCACTGTCAGCTGACTAGGGTCTTTTATTTGATAAGTTACCAGCTGTAGACTGTGCCAAACTTGGGTGTGTCTATAGGAAGTATTAATATTGTTTCATATTTTCAACAGGTAGATGATGCAATGCTGATGTTTGACAAGACGACCAATCGACATCGAGGTAAGTGTCTGGTTTGAGTTCACCTTTTCATTGTTTCGCTGAGATTGATCTGCGCAGTGGATGTGGTCTCATGGATTCTGCACTTGCTCTTAAAATGGGCACAACTGGGATTCTTCGTCTGGGCAAAGCAAGTGTTTGAATTTGAGTTGCTGTCCCATCCCTTGAAGTTTTTATAAGCTGTTGGCTGTACCTAAGAAGGCTGAAGTCTACAGCTTTTACAAAAAGTACTTTCAAAAATGTTTAGCTGTTTCCATCTGATTCCATAATTATTTAATTCACTTTCCCTTCCATTCTATAATAAATCTCTTGATACTGGACAATTCATCTCATTTGCACTGTATTTCACTTCTGTTAATACTATATAGTATGCATCTATAATGTATAGTGCAAAAGAAGTTGCATCTATTTATATTATCCATGAAGCTAAACCCTGAGTCCATGGGTCTGATTCACTCCTTGATTCCTGTTCACAGCTGTACAGTTCCATCACAAGTGAGGGCCATCAGGGACAGAGGAGACTGAGGATTTCATTCCATCCTGTAATGCACTGCCCAACACATTTGTGTAAAATTCCTTTGTGTGCTGTATTTACATAGTTATTCACCAGGAGAGAAAGCATGTGAGTAATGGAGCAAAAAGAGAGAGAAAATCTGTGGTAGAGAATAAGAGAAATGTAGAATAGATGGAAAAGAGAGAGAAATGAGAAGCATCGTTGTGTGTTCCCTCTGGCAGTGCATGAACTATCTAATGATTGGAAAAAGATGATGGGTGACAGGAGTATTATTAACTAATATAGATACAGTGATGCTGTGATGTTGTGTTCTCACTGACTGATGTCTCTATTAACACCAGTGACCCGTAACACCTAATATCAAAACGTACCAATATTACATAAACCAGTTTTTAAAAAAAACGCAACGATTGTTTGGAAGCTGACATTCTTGCATTGTTGACATTAATCAGTGAATACCTCAAATTAATGTCTGCAGAATCTCATTACAGCATAGCCTTTAGGCAGATGCTTAAAAGTCTAAAGTGTTAACATGCTCAGTAGCACTTTGAGTGGAACAGAACCATACAAGCTAGATGATCCCAGCTTGATTACCCAGTGTCTGCTGAGTCAGCCAGCTTGGGTTGTGGTGACTACTGGATTGAGGTGACTTAAGTCAAAGAAACTAATTGACATTCGTGTTGTGCCTTTCATAACCTCTGAAATATTGGCCTTGCGAATAACCTCATATTCTAAGAATGAGCAAGAACAACACATATTGCTGTAAAAAATGTGCTGTTGAAGTGGTTCATCTTGTATTCATCAGAACAGATGCAAAGGTGCCATATTTGAAAGGAAGCAACAATCTGGTCTGCCACAAATTACCTTGAAAGAATAAAATCTGTCAAAAATTTAGGCAACAGGTGAAGTGAGTTGTTTTGTGCTACTACTGGGCAGTAACAACATCAGTGATCTTCTCCACTAACAGGATCCTGCCTTCCATGTAAATAAGCAATGTGGTATATGAATTTCAGTGCCAGTGTGTTGCCAGTTTTACAGGTTGTTCATTTCAGTGACTGATGGATCATATCAAGTAGCACGTCTCTTTGGCTGTTCGTCATAGGTAGAACTCTGACCGTACTCAACCGACCCACGCTTGTAAAACTCAAGTGCATTGAATCATATTTATCATTAAATGTTTATGATTGTTCAGCGGGTGCTGACCAAACCCGAATGTATTAAGAATTACATTGACAAATCAATTTATAATTGTCAGTTGGGCTTTCAGTATGGTTCACTTGAGCTTAATGGAAGCTACTTAAAGTCATGTGTAGAGACCTGACCTTTGCAGGCAAAAGGGGCATGTCCAGACATTGCAGCTTTTTTGAATTAAAGAAAAACATGGGGTAGTAGTTCCCCAGCACGTTCTCCTGCCAAACATCTTGACCAATCAGAGTTGATTTGTCAACCGATCATCACCTTTTCCTCCTACCGTATAAATGGTGTCTCCCCTTGAAATTTGGCATTCTTGTGTCTGCTGTGATGAGTGCAACATGAAAAGGCTCAACAACATAACTGCTTTTTTTCTCAGCAACACACAAGTTCTGTACCACCAAGAGACTATTTGGAAAAGAAAATAACTAAATAACAATAATGGGAGCAAGAACGCTGAGCCGAAATTTATTCTCCTGGTCTCCTCCACCAGTACCTTTCAACAAGCATACACTCTCTTGTTTGCCCAATGATGCTGAACCCAGCTTTAGGATTCCTAACACTGTCCAAGTAGAAACCAATTAACCCAGCACAGGTCCAGAATTGGACCTGGGTTTTCTTGGCCTGAGCCCCTCTGCTTTTTGCTGGCCTTTGGTTACACATTGTGGTGGTAGAAGACTATTGAATGATTTGATTCATCCTTTGCTGCCAGTGGTTGATACTGGAATCTTACTACAGGTGAGAGTAAATTCTGGAAAAGCTGATTTGACAGGATGTAAGGGCAGGATTTAAAAGCTCCAAAGGACATTAAGAGAAGCAAATGTTTGATTAGGATTGTGCATATGAAAATTGTCCATTCACCAGCTAATAACTAATTCACTGTTGAACCTGATATTGGTTAACTGATGATAATATCACCAGTTGCAGTTCATTGAGGTGCCTCTCCCACTTTGACGTTCATTGGGAAGGGGTGCTGAGCATTCAGCTGCTATAACATGGGTGGAAGACTGGCAGAAGCTAGAATTGCGGAGCTCAGTTTCAAAATAAGAGATTACTCACTGAATTCAAAGATGAAGAAGATTCTCTGAGGGCCGTTGGTGTTTGGAATTTGCTTCCCCCGAGAGCAGTAGAGACTGGGTCATTGAATAGATTCAAGGCTGAGTTAGATATTTAATCTGGAAGGGAGTCCCATGTTTATGTGGAAACAAAATAGAAATCGCTGAAACGGCTCAGCAGGTCTGGCAGCATCTGTGGAGAGAAATCAGAGTTAATGTTTCGGGTCCGATGACCCTTCCTTAGAACCGGACCTGAAAATTTAACTCTGTTTTTTCCTTCACAAATGCTGCCAGACCTGCTGAGCTTTTCCAGCAATTTCTGTTTTGTTTCCAGATTTACAGCATTCGCAGTTCTTTTGTTTTTTTATTCAGTGTTTATGTGGGGCAGGCAGAAAGGAGGAGTTTAGATCTTGTTTAGATTAGTCATAATTTTAATGAATGGCAGAGCAAGCTCGATGGTCATTCTGCCCAATTCCTGTGTATTCTTATGTTCTTGTATCATTGTAAGGAAGGAAACCAATTGTAAGCATATTATGCTCTCTCAAATAACAAGGTGACAATGGTCAGATCATATACTCCTAGGTTGAGGAATGTATATTGGCCAAGACAAGGAGATGTGCTCTCCGAGTAATCATATAGGATCTTGCATTTTCAATCTGAGAGCTTTAACATCTTATCGAAAAGTTAGTACCCCTAACAATGCCTTCCTAGTGCTGCATTGGAGTGTCTGTCAGGATTAAGTGCTCAAAGCTCTGGAGTGGGACTTGAACCCACAATCTTCTGGTTCCAAAGTGAGAGTGCTACTCACCGAGTCACCTGTGAGTGCATCACTCACAGTCAGTGTTTACTTGGTGTTTTGAAACCTGTGGACATGTTCTGTTACAGGTTGGAGAAAGAAGCTATTAAAATGCTTCCTGGCAGAACTTCATGTAATTTCTGAAAGGGAGCTGGGAACAACTGGATGGGACATGATGTCTGGGAATGAAAAGGAAAGAAAAGATAGCTTTCTAAACAGCTGGATGGATTACAGGGCCCAAACAAAGAGCAGATTGTCAGGGTGAAGGCGTAGTGTTCTGAGAGAAGCCTGAGATTAAAAAAAAGAATGCCCCAACTGAATGCTGTCATGTGAGCCCCTAACCTGTTTGCTGATTGTTTTCAGTATTCATTCCAGGTTTCAGCAGCCTTGATCCCAGCATTAATGTAATCCTTTTCTGCAACTGACACTGAATGACTTGAGTTGTCCTGTGTTACAGCTCTGTGCCTCTGAGGTTCTGTGTCTTGTAAACCTCTACCCAACCCAATCTCTCAGCACTTCCTTGCCCTGAATCATTTTCCTTTCACTCACTCACTTGCCGACTTTCACACAGGAACAATCTCTGATTTTCTGGTTCCTTAGTTTTTGATCTTCCCTTGTCTTTCCCCCCATCACTCATCTTTCATCTGATTTCTCCCAATTCCCACCATAACTATTCCCATTCTCTCTCCAGTCTCCAACTCATACATCTAAGTTCTCTATGATTTTCAGAACGTTTTACTGTTGTAGTCGCCCATCTCTGGGGGTGTCTGTGATATGGGTGTAATGTTATCAAGGACAGCCCATCAGATCAAAGGTTCTGGGCAGAATGATGGGGCAAAGGTTGTTGGTTAGGCAGGAAATGCAGAGAAATTGTGCTGAATGGACTGACGGAAGAGAGCTGTGCAGACTGAAGGGGAAGGGGGAAAGTGCTGAACAACTGAGGGAAGAGAGAGAGAGTGTTGTACAGACTGAAGGGGAAAGAGATAGAAAGAGCACTGTACGTACTGGGGTGATGGGGAGGGTGAACATCACACAGACTGAAGGTAGGGAGAGGGGGAGCTGTGTAGATCTGGGGTGGAGAATGCTAAACAAATGAGGAAGAGATATAGAGCCATACAGACTGATGAAGGAGAAGAAAGATCGTGGCATATGGACTAAGGGGAGAATGAGAAAAATTAACGTGGAGGAGAGAGGGAATGGTGTATGGACTTGGATGGGAGAGGGGGGTGATGGATAATGTGGTAGTGAGCATTGTACAGATTGGGGTTTGGGGGGAAAAGACCACTGTAAGGCATGGTTGAGTGGTGGTGGGCACAGTACAATCTGATAGGTGATCCGTACTGTCTGTGCTACCAATACAATGGAAGGGAAATATTAAGTGTGCTGAGGATTCATTTTGGGAGTCTCCATTTCTTCCCAGGCGGAATGTGCTCAGTAGGTCTGTGAA